TGAAAAAGCTTTCCCCATTACCTGCATTGAACAGCACGACTCCTTATTCTAGAGAAGCACTAGATTTTTACAACACCTGCAAGCCCACCTTATTCTAGAGATAAAAGTTTGTATGTTAGTATAGATACGCCATCCTATGTAGTATGTACTCTTATATATGCAGGGGAAATGATTTCTTGATGTTATGAGCATGTAAAAGATTCCAATGCTATATTTGATATGTCAAAATAATTCAAATGAAACGACAATTTCATGTGTACAAAGAGAAACAAACTCCAATCTGGCAAAGGTGAAACACAAAAACATAACGGGGTTAAATGATGCGCTAATTTTGTAGTTGGAAGGAACGATCTTAGCCCCAACAAATGCTAAAGCATGGGGTTCTGGCTTGCTTCAATGGCTTGAATTCACCAAACTAAGTGGATTATCAATTCAAGGCAGTGGCACCATAAATGGTAGGGGGCAACAGTGGTGGACCTACTCAGACCCAAATGACGATGAGGATGACGACAAGGTAAGACCCGACCATTTAGTACTAAATCACTCAATTCAAAAGTTGGTTTATTAATCACTAACCTTGGATACAATCCAGCAGTACAATGAGGAGCTTGAGAGGATGCCACGGGTTAAACCTACGGTAAGATCACTATCTTAGTGCACATTCAGTACTGTATACCAAAACAAACATCTGGCAGTTTTGATTCCATACTCTGATGCAGGCATTGAGGCTCTATGGTTCTTCAAATGTCGTAGTGGCTGGCATCACAATTGTCAACAGCTCACAGTGCCATCTCAAGTTTGACAACTGTCAAGGGGTGCTGGTCCACGACCTGACAATATCCTCCCCTGAGAACAGTCTCAACACCGACGGAATACACCTGCAGAACTCCAAAGATGTCAGCATTCATCATACCAACTTGGCTTGCGGTAATTCCTCTTTATGACTAACTTCAAGAAGAATTTTATTTTGCCAATCTAGCATGCATTCATATTATGTTCAGCAATTTTGTTTTGCCAACACGTGTCCACGTGAAACATATCTTCAACCAGAATTTGAGAACACAAGACAATTTATATATTCCAACAAACTACTCCCTCCGTCCACAATGTAAGACGTTTTTGCAAGCTATATTAGCTTGAAAAAACGCCTTACATTATGGGACGGAGGGAGTATAATATAAGGCATATGATCAACTGAAAGCATGTCCCTCTGTTCTGCAAGCTCTGCAGTGCAACGGGCAGTTCCAGACTTAGAGTACACTGGAAAAGGGCGACGAATCGTATCGAAGCATCTTTTGCAGTTACACAAAAGTAGTAAAATGAGTATATAGCACAGATCACATGGCATCTTTTGTCTTGTTCCATGCAGGTGACGATTGCATCTCCATCCAGACAGGATGTAGCAACATATACATACACAATGTGAATTGTGGACCAGGCCATGGAATCAGCATTGGTGGACTAGGCCGGGACAACACAAAAGCATGCGTCTCTAATGTAACAGTAAGAGATGTCAACATGTTCAGAACAATGACTGGTGTCAGAATCAAGACCTGGCAGGTAAGATCAATAATTCAAGAAAGAGCATGCAGAATAAACTCATAATACCTACTGAGCTAAACCAATTGAATTCTCCTTGCAGGGCGGTATAGGACTGGTTCAAGACATAAGGTTCTCAAACATACAAGTCTCCGAAGTTCAAACACCTATTATGATAGACCAGTTCTATTGCGACAAAAGAACCTGCACAAATCAAACAACAGCAGTGGCGGTATCAGGCGTTCAGTATGAGAACATCAGAGGGACATTTACAATCAAGCCTCTCCATTTTGCATGCAGTGACAGCTCACCTTGTTCAGGGATCACACTTACAGGAGTACAACTTAAACCTGTGCAAATAGCCCACTACCACCTAAACAATCCATTCTGTTGGCAAGCTTTTGGGGAACTCTTCACTCCAACCATCCCTCCCATAGCTTGTCTGCAGATTGGAAAACCTGCTGGGAACAACTTGCAGTCATACCATGACATATGCTGAAACACAGATAGTATCCTCATCCATTAGTTGGTGCTTATCCATGAGTGGTCGTTGTGATGCTTCCGACCCTTTGCACCATTGCCTCGTCATGTGCATATATACACAGTTAATTACTTAATTTATGTTTTGTTATCATGGCAAGTGTGTCATGTTTGTGGGAAAGCAAACATAGATGTTTTCATATAAAATGGGCAGGCAGACAGATTATATGTGTGAGCTGAAAAAATATAGAGCATGTTATTTCTATGCTAATACAAAGTATAAGTGTTAAAAAATAATATTACAGCACTTCTGCACAACTTTTGCACATTGCTACACCTTACTATTAATAAAAACAGTGCCAACATGGGTAAAGGTGAAGCAAATGTTAACGACCCAAGAATCCCAATGACAATGTTGAATGTACAATATAGAATAACTCGGTTAAGATTCAGAAACAGATTGATACAATATAATAAATGTTTAGATGACAAGTATACTGATTGGTTAATCAAAGGAAAATTTTGTTTTGGCACTTGGGCAGAAGGAACGGAAAAATGATATTGAAGTGAACTGTAAGAAAAATGAACAAGTACAATACATCCAGCTTCTAAGCAACAAATGCTAAAATCATTTGCAACATACACATTCTGTATTCAAGACTAGCAGTGCAGCGCGGAAAGGAAATGTGCTTTTTTTAGGTTTAGTAGCTAGAAAGATTTTGACAGACGGATAGAAAAAAAATGTTCAAACAGATCAACTTAATTAGATAATAATGGTGTAAAAATAGAATGAGTGAAAGCGAATTAACCATTAGAACATGACAGGGAGGTGACCATTTATTAACTACTCCCTCCGTAACTAAAAAACGTCTTATATTAAGTAACGGAGGGAGTAGGTTATAATGATCACTCATAAGCATTTTTACCATCTTTCTAGCCTTATAACTCAACGAGAATCAGCTATCTTTGAATAAGGGAACAACAAATATAAGCTATAATGGAAGATACATAGATTGGTGCAACACTTACTGAACCGTACAATGTACTGATCTTACTTCTAGGTGGACAGACAACATGTTAACGCATAAGCATTTTTACCATCTTTCCAGCATTATTACAACTTCTAATCTTAATGGCATGTCAGTTCCATGCAAACGGATGAGCTAAGGCATTAACTTTTACATAGTTGGCCCATATAGCTTATATACCCATCTCTAAATTATCACGACCAACACTAAATCAATAAAGTGCTGCCATCAAGAATCAAAATTACAATATTTAAATACCAAGACTAATTCACACATCTATTTTGGAATGGATGTCACTATCTACATTAAGCACATTTCTTAACTATAACAAATTATTATTTAAAACTAGAGTTTTGTATGAAGATCACATCAAACCATATTATTAGGGAATTTCATCATACATAACAATAGCACACATGTAAACTCAATGTAAGTCAACTGATAAACATGAAAATGTACCACAGCCACCATTCTTATTGAGATATTACTACCAATGTGCTTTCGAGCAACACTTTTTTCCCAATAATCCATATTTATGTTGATCAAACAGCTTGTGAAGAAGTTTCATGTTTGCATGGACTTCGTCGTGCCAGATTTGCCACCACGGAAAGATTAGGACTTCTTAGTGCATTGTTAGATACAAATATCGCTATGCTAGAAACAAACATAATGGCAAAAAGACATGGGGCCATACAGCCATGTTATACAAAGATATACTAGCATATGATGTGTTCTCAACTCTCAAGTACGTATAATACATGCTGGCCAATGCAAGAGATGCACCAACATCACTGCGCATTATCCAGTTAAAAGGCTATTCATGGCTCAGTTATTTGGTTGTTACAACTAAGGCCAGGATGTAATCTTTGCTTTGTACTTTAAATTTTGAGAAAACAAGAGGTCAACACAGTCTCGTGGAAAGAGAGAAAGTACAGTATATCCCCAATATCATAGCATGCAAACAAAAATCCTATTCAGATATTCATTGTTGGAAATAATACTTCATCCATAAATAGTGAAATTTCTGTATATAATTTCATTAATGTTGTACATAACTAGACATAGCAAAACTGCCAAAACTAGAATGACAGCAGTGTATACACCAACAAACAGTTCCACAAACACTTGAATTTGTAGCTCAGCTTGATGATGCACTTGGAAAATTTGCAGAACCTGTTTGTACAGTAGCAGACAAAGATTTCAGAATTGCTTAATAGAACATGAAAAGACACACGAACTAGACAGGTTTAAGATGAAGAAGACTGACGGTCTGACGCAATCATCTTGAAAAACTAGCAACATCCTTTGTCCCTCTGTAGTTTGATATAGTTTCAGGGCTTGCTTGTCCTGTTATTTCCTCGTATTTGTCCTCAAGATTCTATTGGAAATGAGAAAGTTCGACTAGACGTAAGCAAAGTTACAAAGTGAGATACGGCATAACAAAACATAAACACACGCGCACATGCTTCAAGAAATATTTGTAGCATGTTATTCAGAAAATATACCAAATCTTGACAAACCAAAAACCCAAAGTCATGTAACTCCAGCCAACAAAGCATTAAAAAAAAAACTCCAACCAAGAAAGACTAACACATATATACAAAAAAAGGATCATATCTTCATCATGAACAGCCCTGTTGATAACAACAAACAATTAGTGCGTCTATGCTCTCCCAAAAGAAAAGCAAAATTTGGAGGGACATTAGTGTCTTATTTGCAGCGCCCCACTATTCCAATAATTCCAACACTGCTGGCTTTTGAGAGAGCATATAAGCACAAGAACTAATATCAAATGATATTCCTAGGTGTAACTTCACCTACTTCGGATTCGCATTTACTAACCTTCAGCTGCTCATGTATGCTCTCAACAACATCCATAGTCATTCTGTCAAAGAAAAGGATTCCCTGCAAATCCACAAGTTGATGGTGAGTGGCCACATGACTATAGTGCTGAATGTGTTCACACACCAATATAAGCCCTTCATTACGAAAATTGAGGTGTCCTCAGACCCCAATTGGTTTGTTGGATCAAAAGTAACATGGACAGTGAAGTAAAGAGAAATAGACTGGATTTAGTTGGCCATTAAATATTTCATTCACATAAATGAACTCAAGTGGAAGATTTAATTCAAAAATCTTACATAAATACATGACAAAATTAAGTTTGATCAAGGTTAAGCCCATGCCTGTAAATGATCAAACTCATGCTGGAAAACTCTTGCAAATAGCTCTGATAATTTAACTTTGATCTTTGCTCCACTAGCATCTTGAGCATCAATTTTAACAGTGTCTGGTCTCTGCATAGCACAGTGGTGAAATAATTGCAAATGCCATAGTCCATTAGTAAAATCCTCCATTTTCAGAAGAACGCAAATACTAAATATAAAAGAATACTAAATAATAGGATCAACAAAGGTGGATCTTAGTTGCATTCCCTAACTTGCCTACTCCCATCATTTGTTTGATACCTGATACTTTTGTCTTGTATATGAACGCTTAGTGACATAATATAGATAGTTAAGATAATAAGTATGGTGAATGTTAACAAGCTTTAAACTCTAAATCTCATGTACTCAGGTTTTTCAGTAGCAATTTGAACTTGTGAAAACATAATCTATTTGCAGTAATGCAGCCATGCAGGTCATACTTGCTATGAATGCAAACTGAAATTATATTTAGAGTGTTGGGGCAGGTCTAATTTCAGATGGCTATGTGGCTGATAAATATCACTAATATTTCTAGGTGATTACAAAAATGAAAAAAGTAACCTTTTAACCCTGAAATTGCAGAAGTTTACTTTCGAATCTTGAACTGTTGAATCAGTTCACCCCTGGCCCTATCCCAAGTGGTTTTGCGCAAACTGAGACCACATATGGCACATATGTGGATCACTTTATTCTTGCCTTGTCAGCAACTTAATTAAAACGTTAAAAAAATAAAGAAATATCTAGAAATAATACTCCCTCAGATCCGAATTAATTGACGCAGCCTCTACACAATGTAAAATGGACATTGTATAAAGGCTGCGTCAATTAATTCGGATCGGATGGAGTATATATTTTTACAAAAAAATGAACTATTTAGGAAATTCAGGGAGAAGTTTTTTCGGATTGACTACTGAGACATTTTTCAGTTTGACTACCAAAAAAATCCTTTTCGGAACTTGGGTTTTTTCAAACTGACACTAAAAAAAGTTTAGCTACATGTCATCTGAGAACTACTGAATCTGCTTTTTTTTCTTTCACTAAAAAAAAGAGAGTCTGGTTTCCGATGACTTTCTACTATTTGTGAATTGCTTGGAAGTTACAGATCTTTCCAAAAAAACTGATTATTATTATTATCATTATCATTATTATTTCATTTTATTGTCTGAATTATTTAATTCTTACTTTTTCACTTAAGTTGCTGACATGTCAAGATGATGGCACGTGTTGTCTCAGTCAGCACAAAACCGCTTGAGAGAGCCAGGGGTTAAGTAAACTGATTAAAGAGTTCAATGTTCAAACAACCAGATTTACAGTTCGAGTTTGAAAAATGAACTCCTGGCTCCTGCAATAGTTCAGGGTTGTAGAGTGGATTTTTTCTATAACAATATACAGAATTTGGAATTAAGCAACACATGACAAATGAGACAAATATTAAATTCAACACATGAAAGATGTATCTTTCTCGCTATCAAACAAGAACAGAGCTGGTATTGGTGTCGAGACTAGCTAATGCGTGTGCTTTTCCACATAAGTTATTTCTGTACATATCTTCTATATCTAAATAGTTAGCCCCCACTAATCTATTTCCCTAAACATGCACACATGCATGAAAAGGCCCAGTCTCAACAAGTCAACATACAAATATGCATGAGAAAAGACTCAGCTCAATAACTAAATATAGTAAATCATATGTATTTCAAATTTAGTTCTTATATTACAAATTTAAATTTCCTATCCGAAAAGAACTAAATCTAACCAAAATATAGTATTTCAAATTTTAGTTATATTCTTAATTTAAAATTTATATCACATACAACTACATCTACTTAAAATGTATTTCAATCAATTCTTGCAGCAACACGCAGGGTATCATCTAGTTATCAGTTAAATGCTTATGCCACCATAGCACCTGGGTTTTGTGCAAATGTTGAAAAGTTATCTCAAAAATATATAATTGACTCAACCGTATGTCCTCCATAGAATGGATGGCAACCAGTAATTGCTAGTAACTCAAGAGGTGAACAGACACAGCCAACAACTTAGATCTTAATAAGAGCAAAGATAAAGGCTACTCTCACCAGCACATTGGCATATATTCCAGGGAACGACAAGCACCCTTCTTCATAGACTGACAATCGCTTTGAGAACTTGTAAACTACTGGGTTGACAAGGACAATTTCCTCTCCTTCCCCTTTCACCCCAGCTGGGTTGAATACCATGAGCTGCACGTTCACTCCAACTTGTGGTGCCGAGAGACCAATGCCATCAGTCCTGTAGCATGAAACCAGGTCAATCCTTTCTAAAAACAGCGGAGAGGCCTATGAGGTTATGACGGGATATTTGCACCCACTAGAATATGACTAAGGCATTTCAGGTCCACCATAAGTAAATGAGTAATATGACATATAGCCCAGATAAAAAAAAATATTAACTATAGCAGTAGCACCATGTGCACTCATGCACAACTACCTGACCATTCCAGGGCTCAGAGCCTCAGATAGCCTCATGAGTATAAATGACACCTCAATTTGCTAATTTGACAAGAGCAATGCATATAAAATACTAGAGAACGTAGGAGATGTGCACACATGTGCATCTCTTGTCTATCGGTTGATAGTGTCAAGGTCCCTAACCACCTAGCGACTCTGGGGGTGTATGGAAAGTCAGTGTATACAGGAAGAGGCAAAAATCAGAGCACTATATGGACTTCTACAAGCCAGTGGTGCTCAAATTAACGATACCGTGCATATATTTAGTAAAGAAAGTGGCACGGCAACCTCATGTGCATTTCATCAAACAGCTCCGGTGCGCACAGCAGAGGCAAGGTAAAAGGCACATGGCTTTACGTCCAGACTCACTTGTACATGACATCAAACATCTCGTCGGCGAGGGAGCGAAGGTTGTCGTCGAAGGTGTTGATGCGCTTGTTGCGTGCGCGCAGGACGGGGTCGGGGTACTGCACTACCTTGAGCGGCTGGTCGAACCGCAGGTCCGCAGCTACACCGTGCAATAACAACAACGTAGTAAGAGAATTAGAGATATAAGCTACAATCCGAGTAACGAAGAGTTCCTGGAAGCGGCTGCTAACCTGTGGCAAAGTCGTCATCCTCGTTGGGCGGGGCGGCGGCCATGGAGGAGCCGAACCCGCGGCGCGTGCGGGCGGCGAGCGGCGTAGCCGGGCCGGTGCGTCGTAGGGGAAGGGTCCTGGGGTGGGTAGCGAGGAGGGGGCGAGAGGAGAAGGACGCGAAGGCGCGGAAGCGGGGGCAGAGGCGAAGGTGGAAGCACGCGGTCGCCATGGTAGTGGCCTGTCCCTTCTCGTGGCCTGGTTCGATTTTTTTTCCCCGTTGGAGAGTTGTGCGGGCACCACAAGGTCGACGTGATCCGATTGCATTCAAAGAAAAAGGTCGACGTGATCGGACGGCTGTAGCCCGTCCAGTTATTTTATATCTGAAAAATACGACCTGTTGCTTGTTTTTCCCTACGACTAAAACTCCTGTTTTTATATATGCGGCTAAAGAGGGCTGGGCGTTCGGTTCCCCCGAACCGATCGGATCGGTTCCTCGGTCAATTCAAAATTTCGGTTTTGGCAAAGCACAGACCGATCGGTCAGTAGAATATTAGCTAACTGATGATTCTCTGCACCGAAATTTCGATTTGGTCGTCGGTTCTACCGAACAGCACCGAGTAAATAACAGACGGAATCATTACCTCTATTCTGATGAATGTACAGTACACATACTAGCAGCAGGAGCATCTATACTTTTATTCTGTGCAGTGCTTATAGGTCTGTGTACTAGCTACTAGTAGCCACTACTGCTATTGATTCTCCCGAGCAAAACTTTACTCTATAAAATTAGCGGTGGCAGCTCCTTTAGTCAAGGGGACCTATAAACCAGGACGGAGGTAGTACGCGAGAGAAGTACTACTACTAGTACTTTGTCTTTTAGACAAAATATATAGCGACGGTGGCTCACTGTGGTACTACTCAGGTTCGCCTCTTCCCGATGCGGCCGTTGGACTCAGTGCACTCGAGAAGTGGAAAGAGCACTTGAGTACAGCAACAGACGTGCAGGTCGGACCCCTATGTTTTCTCGGGTTTCGGTCTATTCGGTTACCCCAGCAATAAACCCAAATTCACCGGACTAAATTCGGTTTTCATCAAATGGCAACCGGACATACAACCGAAGTTCCCGGTTTCGGTGAATTCGGCTTCGGTGCCGGTTAATTCGGTTCGGGACATCGGTTTTCGGTTTATATGCCCAGCCCTAGCTAAAGAGGATAGCACAATTGTCTCTGTTTATCACCTGACAGGAGCCCATCTCATAGACATGTAGGATCTGATTGATTGCAGCGATGCTCTCCGGGTTGGCTTCGAACAGGAGAAGTGAGTCCACGAACAGTAGATGACTTGATGTGTTCATTTTGTTCCGCCTGAAGTAGTACAATGTGAAGATATACGGTGATATTGGATCACCCTGTCGCAGCCCACGGCCTCGGATCACTTGTTCAGTGCATGACTCATTCACCTTAAATCGGAATCTGACTGTCCTTATGCACATACTGATGAGTTTGATAAAACCTTGCGCAAACCCAACCTACTTCATGACCTTCTCGAGAAAACCCCACTCGACACGATTGTATGCCTTGCTCATATATAACTTGAGGGCTGCAAAGCTTGTGCTCCCCGACCTTTTCCTCTTGAAGAAGCGGGTCATCTCATATGTCAAGATCGTGTTATCTGATATCAATCTCCCGGGCACAAAGGCACTCTGATTAGGTGAAATAATATCTTCCAATATAGTTTTCAACCGGTTGGCCAAGGCCTTGGACACGAGCTTGTACACTACATTGCAAAGGCTAATTGGGCGTAAATCTTTCAGAGTCTCTGGATTTTGTACCTTTGGGATTAACACTACCAGAGTGTCGTTCCATCCCTCCGACATGTTGCCGCCTCGCAATACATGCAAAACCTCTGGCATCACAGAATCACCAACCAAACTCCAGTAATGCTGATAGAAAAGTGTTGGAAGCCCATCCATACCCGGGGCCTTAAGATCGCCAATACTATCCAATGCTTACTTTCTTGGGGAACGTTTCATGGAAAACAAAAAAAATCTATGCACACGCAAGATCTATCCATGGAGATGCATAACTACGAGAGGGGAAGAGTATCTTCATACCCTTTAAGATTGCTAAGCGAAGCGTTTATCAACGTGGTTGGTGTAGTCATATACCTTCACGATCTGTCCCAATGAAGTATCAAGTGTATGGCACCTCTGCGTTCAGCACACGTTCAACTCGATGACGTCCTCGCCTTCTTGATCCAGCAAGAGAGGCGAAGTAGTAGATGAGTTCCGGCAGCACGACGGCATGGTGATGGTGGTGGTGAAGAACAATCTCCGCAGGGCTTCGCCAAGCACAACGGAAACTATGACGGAGGATAAACTGGAGGGGGCGGGGTTGCCGTCACACGGCATGGTGAATCTTCATGTGTTCTAGGGGCTAGCCCTGCTCCTCTATTTATATATTGAGCCCTGGGGTAGTTTCTTGGAGAAAGAGCCTCCTCAAAGTTGGTTTGGAACGCAAGGAAGAGTCCTTCTCGGTTTCCAGTACCATACGCCACGGTCCTCGGCGTCTGGCCCAGGGCCGGACGCCAGGGTCCCTGGCGTCTGGTCCCTGACCTCCGCAAAACTTCCTTTTGCACTGACCTAAAGCCCCGTGGGGCTTACTCCTTGGCCTAACCATATCATCCTATATATCAATCTTTACCTCCGGACCATTCCTGAGCTCCTTGTCATGTCCGTGATCTCATCTAGGACTCTGACAACATTCACTCACAAACATACATAACTCATATAATACTATATCGTTAACGAACATTAAGCGTACGGACCCTACGGGTTCAAGAATGATGTAGACATGACCGAGACGCTTCTCTGGTCAATAACCAATAGCGTGACCTGGATGCCCATATTGGTTCCTACATATTCTACAAAGATTTTTATCGTTCGAACCTTTATGACAACATACGTAGTTCCCTTTGTCAATCGGTATATTACTTGCCCGAGACTCGATTGTCGGTATCTCCATACCTAGTTCAATCTCGTTACCGGCAAGTCTCTTTACTCATTCCATAATACATCATCCCGTAACTAACTCCTTAGTCACTTTTCTTGCAAGCTTCTTGTGATGTTGTATTACCGAGAGGGCCCAGAGATACATCTCCGTCATACGGAGTGACAAATCCCAATCTCGATCCATGCCAACTCAATAGACACCTTCGGAGATACATGTAGAGAACATTTATGATCACCCAGTTACGTTGTGACGTTTGATGGCACACAAGGCATTCCTTCGGAGTCCAGGACTTGCATGATCTCATGGTTGAAGAAACATGTATTTGACATTAAGAAAGTAGTAGCAATAAACTGAACGATCATATGCTATGCTAACGGTTGGGTCTTGTCCATCACATCATTCTCCTAATGATGTGATCCCGTTATCAAATGACAACTCATGTCTATGGTTAGGAAACCTTAACCATCTTTTGATCAACGAGCTATTCTGGACATGGTATTTGTTTATGTATCCACACATGTATTTAAGTTTCCGGTCAATACAATTCTAGCATGAATAATAAACCTTTATCATGAATAAGGAAATATAATAATAACAACTTTATCATTGCCTCTGGGGCATATTATCGGTGTCAAAACCGGTGGATCTCGGGTAGGGGGTCCCGAACTGTGCGTCTAAGGCTAATGGTAACAGGAGGCGGGGGACACAATGTTTACCCAGGCGGGCCCTCTCTATGCAGGTAATACTCTACTTCCTGCTTGATAGATCTTGATGAATATGAGTATTACAAGAGTTGATCTACCACGAGATCGTAGTGGCTAAACCCTAGACGTCTAGCCTATGAGGATATGATTGTTGTGACTAAACCCTAGAAGTATGAACCCTCCGGTTTATATAGACACCGGGGGGGGGGCTAGGGTTGTACAAAGTCGGTTATAGAGAAAGGAATCCACATATCCGAATCGCCAAGCTTGCCTTCCACGCAAAGGAGAGTCCCATCCGGACACGGGACGAAGTCTTCTATCTTGTATCTTCATAGTCCAACAGTCCGGCCAAAGTATACAGTCCGACTGTCTGAGGACCCCTTAATCCAGGACTCCCTCATTAGCCCCTGAACCAGGCTTCAATGACGATGAATCCGGCGCGCAGATGTATTCGGCATTGCAAGGCGGGTTCCTCCTCCGAATATTCCAACATAGCCTTTCAAACATAGAAAATGTGTCCGGTTCTGCAAAACAAGTACCACACACAACCATAGAGAGTATAATATTTCACGAGTCCGATCCGCTGACAACTTTTTGTAGCGTGACATCACACCACTGCCCAGTCATTATTCAAACCGTTTTTTAGCCCGCCGCTCTGTATTTCGAGGTGCGGTTTCATTGTCACGTCTTGTCGAAGCATAGACCGTGTCCCCTTATCACGGGATTCTCATCAATACGGGCATGGGCAACCCAACCGTGTCATCTGCACGATGCTTGGGGAATGGGTGGATTTTAAGGCGAGCAGGGAGGCGCATGACTTTTACTGCCTTTATAAAGGGATAAGGATTCATCCTTGTTCACCCATGCCTTCTCCTTCCTATGCCCATCCATTCTCGAGCTCCAACGCCCAAGCTTTAGCTTTCTTCGCCCAAAAAAGCACTCCAACCATGTCCAGATCCGAAGGTGGAGGCAAGTGGATGGCCTCTTCTGTCAAGAAGAAGGACATCAAGGAGCTCCGGGAGGCCGGTTACCTGGCCAAGGAAATCGTTCGTCGACTTCCGGCCAAGGGACAGATCGTCCCTACCCTAGAGCCCCATGAGAGGGTTGTGTTTCTCACACACTTTGTTCGCGGGCTGGGATTCCCTCTCCACCCGTTTGTCCGCGGACTGATGTTTTACTACGGGCTGGACTTCCATGATTTGGCCCCCAACTCTATCCTCAACATCTCGGCATTCATTGTCGTGTGCGAGGCCTTTCTCTGCATCCCACCCCACTTTGGCCTATGGCTGAAGACCTTCAATGTGAAGCCCAAGATGGTGAGCGGCCAACAAGCTAAGTGCGGGGGTGCCATGGTGGGGAAGATGCCCAACGTCACCTGGCCCGAGGTCTCCTTTGTGGAGACGGTGAAGGGGTGGCAGTCGGGGTGGTTCTACATCACCGAGCCGCGCGACACCAACTGGCCGGCGACCCCCGAATTATGATTCGGAGTTCCGATGCGGCTCACCTCCTGGCAA